AAGGAATGAAAATAGGAAAGAAAGTGCTAATTAAGTAAGTGTGTGTTTTTGCCTCTAAATCTATGCAAATGCCGTAGTAGCAGTTGAAATTCATGCAGTGCCTGCTATAGTAGGAAGGTGGGGTTATGGCTTGTAGGGATAGAAGAGAAGAAAATATTTGGGACTCCTTTGGATATTTCTCTGGGAGCTTTACATGGGTTACTTGCTAAGGGTTAAAAATAAATGAGAAAGATGAAATGAAGCCTGTCAGTTCTCTCTGGCCCTGTCAGCCAGGTACTGGTAAATCTGGTTTTGGTTATATTCTCCACCCTGTTTATGCTTTGGATTAAGAGAGAAATCCAACCTCTCGGTGTTAGATAAAAGACCTTGCAGTGGTGGTGTGTGGCTTCCCCTCGCTGTGTGCAGTAGGGATCCCAGGATGATCAGCATCATGCGAGTCCCAGGATCCTGGGAAGTGTCAGAGACAGCTCTGTCCACCGCACTGAGGTTCAGTCTCTGGCTCTTGGGAAGCCGTGACACCTGCCAGGAGAGCCCCAAAGCCATCGGTGTCACACGTGGGGGAGAGCATCACCAGCGATTCCTCCTCGAAGCAGCAGGGTTTTTCCTCCGGGGCCAGTCCTTGTTGCTGCTGCCGCCCCAGGAGAACACTGGTGGAAGTGTCAGCTTTGGAGGAAAGGGTTCCGAGTGCTGGCTGTGCATTGCCCGCTGTCAGGGCTTGGCTCCTGCTGGGCAGCGCTGCTGCACCTCGGGGTGTCCCCAAAGCCTCCAGCTGTTGTTCCAGGCTCCCGGGCCAGGGGGCTGGCACTGCCGGAGTGTGGGAGGGAGGAGGGCCCGGCAGGCTCTGGACTTTGCTCGGGGCTGGAGGACGGAGCCCTTCCCGTGCCTCGGATGTTGTGGCCACGGTGGTTCGCGCTGGGAAGCGCTGCGTGAGTAGGGAGTGAAAAATGCCCAGCCTCGCTGGGTTTGGAACGGGGGCTTAGTGGGTGTGCTGAAACCGGTTCTGCTCGTCCTGCCTGCTCCTCTCCCAGGATAGCTGCTCGTCCCACCGAGAAGTGATTCCCTGGCTGAGTCCTTAGGGGATCACCATTGGCCTGGGAGCCGTATAGGGCTCGGCTGGGTCACCTCTGCCCTTTGGGGCCAGGGTCAGAACAGAGCTTAAGCTCTGTTGAGCCTTAAAAATGCCCTCAGTGTGTGTTGTCCCTGAACGTGCCTGCTTCCCACGTGTGGCTGTTTCCCTGCCAGCAGCTCTTCTTGGGACTGGATATGAGGAAATGGAAGCAAAAGCTGATGTTGCGTAAATGTCACAAGTTCGGTGCTTTTATTTTAAAAATGAAGTAATGCTTTTGTTGCTTTTCTTTTTAGGATGTGCTTTACAGAAATGTTGCTTGTGTTAATGCAGAAACAAAGCTTCTGTAGCTTTACTGAGGCCTGCCCTGGTCTGCCTCTGGGAGAAAAATGCTTTGCTCTGTTGCTTTGTGCAGACTAACAAACCTTTTTGACTTGCAGATCTCTTGCCACTATGAATTAAGTCTTGTATGATGCAAATCTCCCTTTCAGTTATGCTTTTCTTACACCTTGATTTTGAATCTTTCCTTTAGATCACGGCTTGCATGACGTTTTTCTTTCTTTTCCTTTCCTTTTGCTGTTTGCAAAGACTCTTGGGAGGATTTGACAGATGTGGTGGAGCAATTGCGCGATGATTCCGAAGGTGCGTTCCACACCCACATCTCACAGCTCTTGTTTGTGCTAATCGTTGGCTTCTGCACTATTATTTTGAGCCTGAGTGCAAAATGCAGTTAGTTTTCCTTTCCAGTCGCTGTGGCTTTCTTGCATTTTCTTGGTGTTGCTTAAATAAATGTTTGCGGGGTTTTTTTTTTGGTATTTCGGCTTGAGGCGGTGGTAGAAGAAGTGAATCAACGAGGGATATTTGCCTTCTCCTAAATGTTTGCAGAGGCAGTAGTTTCCTGAGCCTGGCAGAAGCACAGCTTAAAAGGTTGCAGCAACATATGGAAGCTGAATTTTAAAAAAATATTTCTGAAATCACTCCGAAGCTTCAGATTTTCTGCAGTATTTCTGTCTAGGTTCTTCAGATTTTCTGGCAGTATTTGTCAAGGCTTGGCAAAAATGATTCTAAAACTTGTATTGCAAATTTCTGTTAGAACTTTTGAGGTACTAAATGAGAAACTTATTTATAGAACTTCTTTCTTGATTTTTAAGAAGCTGCAAATGTGAAATAGATGAATCCCCAATGTAGCAAGTGATCAAGCAAATTGATGATGAAATAGAACAGCTCCTGTTTGGGACTCAAGTGTTTGCAGCACAAAAGGTTGATGTTGTCGTGCACTGAGCACTGTGAGCCTTGCTGCTCGTCTTCCACCATGGTTCTGTGCTGGGTGCTGCCCACAGGCAATGTCCTCCTCTCCTGGCACAACAGCCCCTGCTGCTGCTTCCCAGAAAGGGGAATTTTCCAAGGCAGGCTTTAAGGAAGAAAGGGGTCGAGTCTTTTCGAGTCTTTTTTTTTTTTTTTTTTTTTTTTTTTTTTCATAAAATACTGTATAAGTAGTTTTGCATTTATTTTGTCAGGTGAGAGGTGTTTCTCTGCCACACGGAAGCGGCCGTGCTAAATTTCAGGTTGCTTTAGGTTGGTGTTGTTGATGTAAGATGAAGACCTTGATGAAATGCTAATGAATTGGCATTGCTTGCAGTGGGGTTGTTCACTTCTCCAGTGTCTCATTATTCCTTGTCTTTGATCCAAGTTTTAGCTTCATTTTAGTTGCTTGTTTTAGAGTATGTGTGAGGAGTGATAAAATTTATTGTCACCAAATGACAAGTACCAAGACCAGTCCCAGCTTAACCCTTTGAGATCCTGTCTTGCCTTGACTCTTTCTTGACTTTGAGGTTCCTGAGTACAGATTGTACTTTTTAAGCAAATCACAGGATTCTCGAATGCTTTTGAAAACATCTTCATGGAAGCAGCTGCTTAGAAAACATGTCTGTTCTGTAGAAGCTGCAGTATTTAAATAACAAAATATCCCAGGAGTTTGCTTCCTTCATTTGAAACCCAAACCCTGTGCAAAGGCAAGGTTCAGGGGCTGGGGATTTACTTTTTGAGGTTTATGACATGGGCTGTGTAGGAAGGGCTGAGGTTTTGCAGTTAGAGGCAGAAGGAAGTTGGAGAAGGTTCCGGCTCGGATGGAGCGTGCCAGCTCCACACCAGGATCCGACTTAGCCCAGTTTGAAGCCAGCCTGACAGTTTTGCTGTGGAAAAGTCAGCCTTCCCTGCCTACCCTGCCTTCTTTAAAGGTGTGCGTGGCGCAGTACGTACAGCAAGAGTTACCAATTACTTAGCATTAATTTTTGGAATAAGCCTTGGGGATTTGATCCAGTTTCACACTATCTAAGGTAACTGGTTTGCAAGATGAGAGAATCTTTGATAAACCTCACTTGCAGAGCACAGCTGCTCACAGCAGACGAAGGAAGCAGAAACCTTGGATTAGTGTGATATGGTGAAAATATTTTTCTATTGGAATTAGCCAATAACCACAGCCAAGGGAGCATTTTCTTTGGTGCTCCCTTGTACAGTTCCTTTAATTCTGCTTGGGGATTGGTTTGCCACCCAAGCAGAATCACTGTGGATGCCTTGCTGCCCATCAGATCAGCGGCCTTGGCCAGTGAGGAGATGTGGTGAGAGAGGATGAGGAGGAGGTCTCTGTGTGTTTGCTGTACTGCTCAGGGTACCTCCAGGCAAGCCAGACCCATCACTTCAGGCAGCAGTGGTCCTGAAAGGCAATCAAAACACCTCACAAAGTGGAGTCTTTCTGCAGTCCAGTGCTGCTCTGAGCATTGCACTGCTAAATCACTGCTTGAAAGTTCTCTAAGCTATGGAAGTAAATTTGGAGAAGGAAACTTCTGACTTGACTCTGAAGAAGGGGAGTGAGAGAAGCTCTGTCCTGAGCTGCCTTTGGAGGAGCTGAACAAATGAGCTGTGGTATCAGGTTTGGATGCTGCCGCTACCCTGGCTCTTCCCTCTCCCGGATTTTTCCCAACCCGCAGTGACGCGCACTCAGGTGTGCGTGTGTTAGCTGTGCTCTTGGCTCTCTTTCTGGCTGGTGGGTGCTGACAGGGTGCCTCTTGCTTAGATCTGTAGTCTGAGGTATCCTCTGGTCAGGTCTCTGCTGCCAGGAGCAGCTAGTTCACTCCTGGAGGCAGCAGCTTGCTTCAAGGATCCCTGGCTGTTGGCAGCAGCCCTGGATAAATGGGCCTTACAGGGATGAAACTGCCTGTACCTGGGAACTGGAGCTCAAAACTTGGGTGTGAGTAGCAGGTCTAAAGGTCTAGATGTTTATAATACGGTAGAGGAAGAATATAATCCTGGGAGACCTGTGAGTTTGGGGATTATTAGAATGACCTGTCAGGAACCATGAAGATCAGATCCTCACTGGTGAAAATCAGTGGCAGTGTTAAAACCAAGAGAGAGAAGTGGGAGTCGGCTCCATGGTACATCTAAGCTTAAAAAAATAGTCTTGAGGAAGAGAGATGGAAGTTGGGATAGAGACACACATTGCTGGATAAGTGTGAGGGGGTCCCAGGTGATCTCTAGATGGAAGAGCAAGCCACAAGTGGAGGATTCTTACCGGTTGGTAGCTGGGGATGTGACTTGGAACAAGTGATGGCTATGCCGGTCAGGGACACCTTGTCAAGGTGCAAAGCACAGGATGAACACCAGGCTCCAAATGTCTTTCTTGAAAATAGGGAGTTCCTGTAGTTATTTCAAGTATTAAGTATGATACATTGGGTGCTCCCATGGCATTGTGGCTTGGGCCCTAAACTGCTAGTTGATGTTGGTTTTTCTCCACAAAAGGGCTGCAGAGTGCCTCCTGTGAAACTCGCTGCCCCAAAAATGCCTTCCAAGCTGAGGGGAAAAAAAAGAGCAAGGTGGGGTGTTTACTCTAATAAAAGCAGTTTTTGTTGCTCAGCAGCGTTTTCCTTGCCTGTTGCAGACCCGAATTACCTCATGGCTAACGAACGCATGAACCTGATGAACATGGCCAAGCTGAGCATCAAGGGGCTGATCGAGTCGGCGCTGAACCTGGGCCGCACGCTGGACTCGGACTATGCCCCCCTGCAGCAGTTCTTCGTGGTGATGGAGCACTGCCTCAAGCACGGCCTCAAAGGTAGCTCAGGCTGGGCACAGAGCATGGGCACAGGGGGAACAGAGCTCTGCAGCCTGCACAGGACTCAGGAGAGGCTGAGAGCAGTCACTCATGTGATGGCAGGGGACAGGGCAAGCAAAAGCAAGGCACAGAAACCTTCTGCAGGGGTTGCTATGTTTGAAACAGCAATTGGAAATCATTTGTCCTGGATATAACTCAGTGATTAGCTTGGCTTTTGGTGAGCTCGTGACTCCTTGTTCTGCACTTCCTTGTCAGCTTTAGGAATGCATTCCCTTGCTGGAAGAGGAGCTGCAACCCTGGAGCTCTGTTGTCAATAGCTCTGTCTATTCAGGGAGGGCTTGGGCTGTGTGCAGCTCATGGCTTGAGGCTGCTTTTAAATCAGAGCATGTGTTTGAGTGTGAAATCTTGAGTCACAGCTCAAATGGCCAAGTACAAACTACCCTTTAGGTGTTGCCCTTGTGTGGTAGGAGATGGGAAACAGAGGGCCATGGAAACAGGTGGACTTTAGGGCCCTTCCCACCCAAGCCATCCTGAGATCTCAGGATACCAAGTGCCTGCCCAGCAGCAGCCCCAGAGGAACCATTCTGGCAGGATTTGGCTAATTTGTTCACTTATTTGACAATGTGTTATATCAGCACGGGTCTAACAGGTTAATTTTAATTTCTTTTTGTTTTTTAGCCAAAAAGACTTTCCTTGGGCAAAATAAGTCATTTTGGGGACCTCTAGAATTGGTAGAAAAACTTGTTCCTGAGGCTGCAGAGATTACAGCAAGTGTTAAGGATCTCCCTGGGCTGAAGTAAGTACACTCCTTTATTGCCTGAGTATATAATATGGGTTTTATTGTGAGAAGGATCCTGAAAAAGAGAAGGAAGGGCAAACAGAACCTTCAGGAATACATCTGTCACCTGCAGATAAAAATGGATTATTGCTCTCTTACCCTTCATCAGGCATCTGCAGCAGGAGAGCACAGGATATATTCTTGTCCTATTAGAATGTGGCAGCTTAGCAGTGCATTTACTGCTTGTGTGCTTTACTGAACATTTACAAAGTCAGACTCCAGAGGAAGGGAATTAACAGCAAAGTTATAGCAGTTTATATAGTTTTGAGGCTGATGTAGGTAGTTCTTCGTTTAAATAACTTGAGGTAAAGTGTATGTGAGAGGAGAAGATGGTAATTTGTGTTCAAGAGGGGAGGCTAAAAGCCACAGGATGCATATATTACTTGTTAAAGTTTTGTAGGAATTTCAGACATCACTTCCAGGCTTGCCTAGTTCATGGTAAAAGAAACTGTAAGAAGCTTTTAGCTTGGAATAGAAAAAAATGGGTAAGGAAGCTTTTGTGTGAGCATGAGGGCTAAGGATGGAGTCATCTTTGCTGAAAGAATAGGTGGGTAAATTCAATAAATTGCTTTTGGGTTAGTTTTTAGTCACGTGCATATGGGCAAGTGCTTTTCCTGGAGATCTGTGCAGGATTCGTCCAGCAGCTGACAGGAGCAGTGCTGTGCCAGGGCTCCTGGTACCTCTTCCTGGTGGGTAATAGGAAATGAATGGAAGTAAAGGACAGTTTGAGAGTGCATTTCTAAGCCTTGTGTTCACAGTGACCCTTCAGAATTGCCAGATGCTGTCAGTGACTCAGGAGTGGGCAGTACTGGCCATGGCTTCCTTGGGAAGGAGTGGTGTTGAGCAGCTGTGCTGCTTTGTGCATGTTCCTGGGACTTAGGCAGAACTGGTTGTGACTCAGAAGGTGTTGAGCTGAAGCAGCTGATGTGTCTGGCAGTATCCAGCAGGGATAAAGCCAGGGAAATCTTTTTAGTATGGCAACAAAAACATCATGAATGACGAGACAAAGGGTGATGGCTTTATTGGTCTGGACCTCTTCGTACTTGGATACCTTTTCTTTCTCTGCACCAGTGCCAGCTCTGCCTTGGAACTGCAGAAACCTGGGGCAGGGTGGGGTTGTTAGAGCTGTTGGTGACTGTGCCTCACAGGGTGTCTGGAAATACTTGTTTCTGGCCTTTTCAGGACACCTGTGGGCAGAGGAAGAGCTTGGCTTCGCCTGGCTCTGATGCAGAAGAAACTTTCAGAGTACATGAAAGCCTTGATTAACAGAAAGGATCTTCTCAGGTGAGTGCTGGACTCCTTCTCAGTTGGGTTCACTTGTGCTCTCTTGTAAGATCTTGGTTACTTTTCCCACCTCACTCCTCTGTGTCTCTTGGCCTGCATCCCACAGTGAATTTTACGAGCCCAACGCGCTGATGATGGAAGAGGAAGGTGCCATCATTGCTGGCCTCCTCGTAGGTCTGAATGTCATCGACGCCAACTTCTGCATGAAGGGAGAGGACCTGGACTCCCAGGTACTGGATATTCAGTTAATGGGTTTGTTCTGCTCATTTAATTTGGAAAATGAATTTTGCATAGCTTACTGATGTAATGAACCCTTGCTGAAGTACAGCAGGTGCTGATGTTCTAACTCTAAACTTCCACACCTGGCAACTGTGTGATTTGGTCTTAGGAACCAAGTGTTTCATGCCAAATGGAATTTTTTCTTTTCCAGGTCGGGGTTATCGATTTCTCCATGTATTTGAAAGACGGGAACAGCACGAAAGGCAGCGAAGGGTAGGTGCACACACAGTTGTCTTCCTGCCCCCCTCTTGGGAATGTGTTTTCAGGTGTTGCAGGCTGCCCTGTTTCTTTTTTCCAGAGATGGCCAGATAACTGCTATTTTGGACCAGAAGAACTATGTAGAAGAACTCAATAGACATCTAAGGTAAAACATGTTCTCTTGGTTCTTTATTATCTTGTACAACAAAAGACAAAACAGGATTTTAAGAAGTGAAGGGATTAATGTAGGGTTTTTTTCTCTTCAACAGTGCTACAGTAAACAACCTGCAGGCCAAGGTGGATGCCTTGGAGAAATCCAACACAAAGCTGACTGAGGAGGTAAGTGTCGTGGAAAACTACTGGATGCCTTGGCCTTTGGGAATTAGGGATTAACCAGAGAGGGAGGGGTTCCTTTCACATGTCTGGTGTACAGAATGAGGGGTGTTGAATGATAGAACTGGAATAGCTGATCAGTCAAGGAGTTGCACTGGCTGGCTCTGCTGAGCACAAGCTGGAAAATCAACTGTATGGTTACGTAAATTTGCTAAAAGTAATGGAAAAAATGTCATTCGAAGTGAGATGTCCAGCCCAAGCATGAGAATCAGCGGGTTTCTCATAGGTGTAGTCTGTGTTTCAGCACAGGTCTGCAGCTCATTACTGATGGCATAAATGTCATAAAATGTTTTGGGGTCAGTTCCCTGGTAGGAGATGAGCTGTGTCACACGTCACAGCAGCCACGAGTTCTGTTTGGGTTTGTCATAGGATAGCATGGCCAGTCCCTTGGAGTGTCTCTGAGTTGCTCCTCTGTGTGAGCCTTGTGTGAGTTGTGAGTTACGAAGCCAGAAGGAGTTTCTGGAGTTCCTTTTGCCTTTGACCATACACTTAGATGAATCTGTTGGTCTGCAGTGCTGTCATCCCTGGGAATTCCTGTGAGCCAGGTGTCCTGTCCCTAAGGGTGCTGTGTCCAGCCAGATCTTCCTCATCTGGTGGGGTCAAGAGAGAAACAAACCAGTGAAGTATGTTTTTGATGCGTTACTGTTACATTTTGTTCCCAGCTTGCCGTTGCCAACAACAGGATCATTACGCTGCAGGAAGAGATGGAGCGGGTTAAGGAAGAAAGCTCCTACATCCTGGAGTCCAGTCGTAAGGTTGGTGTGTGTGTGGGGGTGTGGTTGCTGAGCCCTGGGACAGGCCCAGCCTGAATGCCTTGTTTGGAACAGGCTTTGATCCCTTGTGTGTCTCACACAGACCCCACGGTGGATTAGAGGAACGGCGGGTGGGCCCTGTGCAGAGGGAACAGATGGGCCCTGGCCATAGGGATGGAGCCAGGAGCTCCCACGGCTTACAGCTTGCTGGGCAAGGTGTCAGGGGACAGGAGGGAGGGGGACAGGGAAAATCAGGAAATAGGAGTTGTGCTGGTTTGTCCTGAATCGTTGGAGAATTCCAGATGTTGGGGAAAAGCAATAATGAAGCCAAGCGAGGGCTGGCAGTACACATGAGCTGTGTCTCTCTGTTACCTCAGGCCACCAAGGACAGAACTGCTGACGGGCAGGCGCTGACTGAGGCACGGAAGCAGCTGAAGGAGGAGACTCAGCTGCGCCTGGTGAGTGCTGGGGGGGCTCAGGGCTCACCCCCCTAAGCTGCAAAGGGTTTGCTGCCCTGCTGAGCTCTTGTTCGATCCATGCCTGGGGAGAAAAATGCCTGACCCGAAGGTATTAAGGGCATAAAATCTGCTTTAGGAAATACAGTCTAAGGAAAGACTCCTCCATCCCAAAGACCAGGCCCATGTAGAATTCCCTGACTCTCTGCTAGCCACGCTGCACACCTGGCTCCGATCCTGAAAACTGGGGAGTTCTTCTCCTTAAGGCACGTGGCGGCTGCGTGACTCTGAGGTTGTGGCAGTGCAGCAGACTCGTGCGCAGGAGGGAAGGGTGGTTACCCCTGGGTCATGAGGGGAACTCCTGGAAATGCTGAGAGCTCCTTGTGTTGCAGGATGTGGAGAAGGAGCTGGAGGCGCAGATCGGGATGCGGCAGGAGATGGAGCTGGCCATGAAGATGCTGGAGAAGGATGTCTGTGAAAAGCAGGATGCGCTGGTGGCACTCAGACAGCAGCTGGATGATCTCAGGGCTCTAAAGCATGAACTGTCTTTCAAGCTGCAGGTAGGGAGCTAAGGAAATGCAGGGAATTCCAGATGAAAGTGGAAGCTGCTGTGCATTTATTCCTCGTGCCTGTTGGAAAGGTGCTGGGTGTGGAAGGGTCACAGGCTGTGCAGCACACTCCTGTCCTGCTGTGAGAACACTGGAACGTGGTGGAGGGTAAAGGTGAACGCAATTTCTTCCGAACAAAAATCCATCATGGTCCAGAAATTTGTGTGTGAGACAGGGGAAAGCACCTTGTGTGGTTTTGTGATGTGGAAGGAGCAGTGAGAGCTCATGTTCCAGCACAGTCTGGTGTGGAGGGCCCCAGCTGTAACTCTGGTGTGGTGACACGAGCAGACTCTCCTAACAGCAGCATTCAGAATAGATCCTAAAACCAACCTGACACCGGCAAAGAGTTGCTTTTGCTCTCCTTCAGCCAACAGCTGTGTTCAAAGCAGCTGAATTAAATTAAAATAGGGAATACTAGCAGGCACTGCATCATACATTTTCCATAGCCAGCAAACTGCAGGGATGGTGGCATTGCCCTGTTGCGGGGTCCAGATGGAGCCTGCACCTCTGCAGTGAGACATTTGTCCTCCCAATCCTGACCTGGCATTTGCTTTTCCAGCACTTTTTCCTGCCTTTTTACATTCTGCCCTGTTGTTTCATAAACCAAATGATTTATGGGGGTTTATTTGGGATTTACTGCTCTTTACACGAATGCCCACTGCTCCTTTTCCCAGAGTTCAGACATGGGAGTGAAACAGAAGAGCGAGTTAAACAGCCGCTTGGAAGAAAAAACAAATCAGATGGCTGCCACCATCAAACAGCTGGAACAAAGGTAAGACAGGAAACTTGGACCACGATCCACTGGTGTGTCCGTTAGTGTTGTGTCCCATGGATCCAGCATGGGCCAGGGGAGAGTCCTGGTGCTGTGCTAGACAGAGCTGCCTGAGGGGAGCAGTGGGAGCAGCACCTCTGGGACTTGGTTAATGAGTAGAGCATTGTGCTCCCTTGGGTGCTCTCAGTTTAGGGTTTATATTGGGATCGGGTCTCAGTAAACAGGGTGGTTTTCTTTGTAACAAGTTGGTGTTGGAAAATGTTTCATGATATCTACTCAGCTAATTCACGTGTTCTTTTTCTCTTGCTGTTTTTATTTTTTCCATTTTCTCATCATCCTCATTCTGACTTACTTACACAGTGAAAAGGATTTGGTGAAACAGGCAAAAACCTTAAATAGTGTAGCAAACAAACTGATCCAGAAGCATCATTAGACGTTTTTATGTCTGGCCGCCTCACAGCTCTGACATCAGAACTCATTTATGAGGGGAGAACTTGAGAATTGCTAAAAGCAACTGTTAAAATGTTAATTGTCACCTAAAATTGATTTGGAATTTGCCGAGTTTTTAAAATCAATGAGTTTTTCTGCCGCGATTTAGTCGGGTACAAAAATCCCCAACCCTGCCATTTAAAGCGTGTTCAAGTACCAAGGAGCTGGCCACTGAGCGCCCGGGAAAGCGTCAGGAGAGGGCGAGGTGGCTGTGCCCAGCCGCTGCCGTCAGCGCGTGCGGCAGCACCGCCCTCGGGACCGCGGCCAGCTCGGGACAGTCAGCTCCTTTTCTGTATTGCCCTTTTGTGAAGTAGATGAGAAATGCATCCCTGGAAGTTGTTGACAGTAGTTGTGTGCGTACCCCGAGCCCTTCCCCGTTCTCTTCTGGTGTGTGGGTTCAGCCCCGAGTCCGAGCCGAGCGGGCGCGACGCTGGCCCGTCACCGGGAAGAGCGGCCCTCCCGTAACCGGCCTGCCTGGATTCTGCCTTAGGGACTTGGGGGGAGGGCGGGGACTTATCCTTATTCCTTTCAACTTCATGTGTCCAGAATTAGTAGCTGTAGGTGTCTTAGAGTAACCCGATAGAGTGGTAAGTTCAGTGGAAACCTCCTTCTCTTTGCATTGCTTCTACCTCTGCCAGGAATCCCTCCAGACATAGCCTGTGGTCCTTCCCGACCCGAGGAAGTGGAGGAGAAGTGTTTTGGGAGGTCTTTCCCCTTCCCAGGAGGGGAAGTTACCGGTATTCTAAAAAATAATCTGATCTTCATTCAAAGGAAACAAAAACACATTAAAAAAAGAAGGAACCCGGTGTTCAACAGTGGGGAGTGGAGATGGAAATGTGCTCCTTGCCCTTCTCTTGTCTGAGTAATTGGTGGCTGAAAAGAATTGCCTTTTACACTTCTTGCATTTTCTTCTGAGTTTGCCTTGCTCAAAACAAATGGAATTTGCTAATGGAACAAGAGCTAAAGCTTGGAAACGCCTCTCAATAAGAAAAATAATTGCCAGTTTAACACCCTGGTACAAAATCTGAAGTAACTGTAGCTTGAACTATTATAAACTAACAGTCTCTGATCCCTGAGGTTCCTGTGCTGGCCTCTCACAGGCTTTAGGTCGATAAGGGCTCCTCGAGATCTTTCTTTCTTCTGGAAGGTTGGATTTGGGGAGTTTCTGTGTCGAATGAGGGGTTTTTCGCTCTGGTGAGACGCCTGTAGTAATTCTATGGTGCCAGTTCTCCCTTTGACCTGTGGGACGGTGCTCCTTGGGGCAGCGGGTGGCAAATGCGACCAACACAGGAGGGAACACCTCGGTGTGTTTAAAAATCCACGGGGCTCAGCCTGCTCCCCGCGGATGTGAGCGCGGCCACCGCGGGGCTCGTTCCTGGCTCCTGCTGGGAGCCTCCCTGCCGTGCCCGAGCCGCATGCTTCAACCTATAAACTCACCCCTCGGTAACCTGCTACTAGAAACTCATCCTAACTCCCTGGAGAATAAACAATCCCAAGGGAAAGGTGGAAGCTTTGATGGAGGTGTGCGAACAGGTGGCATGGGCAGGAACCGCCCTGCCCCTTGGTGCAGTTCTGCTGTAGGAACAGGGGGTGGGATGGTGAGGTTTGTGCTGAAATCAGACAGATTTAAGGATCTGGCTGCTTCTGATGTCAGGCCCCGAGAGGGAACGTGGTGGTGTACTGATGCCTGGGGCTTGAGCCCAAGTGTCCATCCACGGGAGAGACCAGGAACATGCACTAATTCTCAATAGAGTAGCTACAACCTATGTTGCAAGTTCCAGTTACCTGTGCAAAGCTGAAATGTAACGTACATTAAACTCCAATTGGACCTAAAATTCTGTGTACTTGAGGTTTGCTTCGAATCTGGATAAAAGTGATGTTTTCTGTTTCTCATCTAATGGCTGTAAACTGTAGTGGTAGAATAAAAACTATTGAAAATGAGAGCTTCTGCCTGGTTCACCTACATTTTGCTTTGCTTTTAACTGTTTTCCTCCTTTCCATTTTTTTTCCATTCTCTTTTTTTGGCTTTACCTTTTCACTGGGATTTTTATTTGTTGGTTAAACTCAGTCTTCCTCCCCACCATGGCTTTTGTTTTTTATCACAAGTTCATGTGGCTCAAATCCAGATTGCGACAGGCAGAGAAGGACCGGCAGCTGGCCCAGCAGGACAACCGGCTCTTCAAGCAGGAGTTTGGGGACAAAATCAACAGCCTCCAGCTGGAAGTGGAAGAGCTCTCCAGGCAGCGGTGAAGAGACGCTTTTCCAACCTCTTTCCTGGGCTGTTGTTGCTGTGTCTAGGGGAGAGCAGGAGGGCTGATGGCAGAGGGAAGCAGGGGATGGAGAGGGAGTGAGGCGAGAGTCGTGTGTTAGGTGCCACCAGGTGTAACTCCAGGGAGGGAAATCCTTGCTAACAGCATCACTTGGTCACTGGCACAGGCTGCCCAGAGTAGTTGGGGATGCCCTGTCCCTCCAAGTGTTCAAAGGCAGGTTGGATAGATTTGGAGCAATCTGATCCCATGGAAGTTGTCCCTGCACGTGGCACAGGGTGGAACAGCATAGTCTGTAAGGTCCTTTCCAACTCAAACCTCCTGTGATTCTGTGATAATTGGGAATCCAAAGCTAACATTTGGATATCCCAACAGTTTGCTGCTCCTGGGCGGGGGATTGAGCAGCCGAGTCTCTGCCTGGAGCAGACACTGAAGGGGCTGGAGCAAGGGCAGTGATTTTGGTTGTCTTCCCTGACACACCGTACCGTGCTGTGGACTTTTTCCCCATTTGAAACTGCTCTTACTTTTGCTGGAAGCCAAACAGAAACCTTGTCAAAAGCCATCACATCTTCCCCTGCAGCTTCATCACTTGAGCAGCATCAGGGACACAGACAAATCTCTTTCCTTAAAACAGAAGAGCGTCTCCTGCAGCCTTGACACGTCTGTGGCTTGCTGCAAGGTCACTGGGATGAGTTCTGTGGGAGCATTGCTGGATGCAGGGAGGTTTTTGTCCCTTCTTCCCCTGCTGGCCCAGCTTTTTCTTTCCCTTTTCAAAAAGCTGCTCTGACAACCAGAAAATGGCTGTGGTCAGCAGTTGGTGCGAGGTCCTGGGCGTGCGTGGGTGAGCTTAGGAGAACAAGGGCAAATGGGTCTGGTTTTGCATCAGTTGGATGCGTTCTGTGTCCAGCTGATTCTGCACTCATAAATTCTGCCAGGATTAGATGAAGGACTTGGAGATTTTTCATCCTGACACGTTACGGCTGAACACACCGCGAGACAGCTTTGGGTTCCAGGAGGCAGTTTTAGCTCTTGAGTTAGGGGTGTGAAGGAAGGGTCAAACAGTTCATCAGTTGTCAATGCCAAGTGTCCCCAAACCATCTTTTACTCACAATTCCACCTGGTATTCCAGGAGCCAGCTAGAACTGGAGCTAAGGCGGGAAAGAGACAGATGGTCTCACAGTCACCAGCGCAGCCAAGAAAGCAAAAAAGGCCCAAAGAATTGGCTCAGACAGGTAACGTGACTTGGGTTTTGGCTCGGGTTTGAGGTACAGTTTCCCTCGGCTTGGCTTTTACTGAGCTTTCTCAGGCAGTAAATGTTTGTTGTTCATGTGCCACAACCAGAGGAGCTTTGGGAGGATTTTTAGACACTCTGAACAGGCAGTTGGAGTTGGAACGAGAACTGCGCAGTAGCAGAGATGGCTTCTGCGGTTCTTTGTTTCTCCTTGGTCTGCTTGTATGGTGCAGTTTTGTCCTTTTTGACCAGTATTACAGGATTTCAGTGAAGTGCTTTAGGCCTCATGGTTCAGCTGTGACCCACGTCTCAGCTGGGGAGAAGGGGAGGATTCTTTTCTTTGCTAGCTGTGAAAGTTTGTTTCTGGTCAGCTTTTACAAAACCTCTCCAGCCCATCCTCGTTCTCAGGCTCTGCTCTGCAGATAAGAACTGGTGGCTGTGGTGTTTGTGCTAACAGGAGGTGATGGGACCCCTGCCCACCTCCGAGAGGCACGGTCCCCTCTGCTCGCAGCACAGGGAAAGCACTGAGAGCTGCTCCCAGGAGAAACTGGGACCCACATAGCCCTCTGTGCCAAGGAGTGGCAGTAGCAGTGCCAATTGTCCCCTTGCAGTGTAGCAGGAGTGAAACGGGAGTTTTCCTCGAGTGCAGCTCATGGGTCAGTGTTTCCTTTTGGCAGGATGGGAAGCTCAAAATCGAGGAAGAAAATACTAAACTGAAGCAGCCACTGAGAGAGGACAGCGTCCTGACACACAGGTAAGGAAGGAAACAAATCTCATCTCCGTCTCTCCTTTTCCAAGTCCTGCTTTCCCTTCTCCCATTTCTGTGCCAACAGGGAGTTTGGAATAGTCCAACTTGTCTTTTTAAGAAGGATTTCCAACCTCATGCCCTTTGTTGAGTTCTCTGCTGCTTTTCCATAGCTCTCAAAGGGAAGGAGGGGGTTCTGGTGTTTGCCATCAGTGCTTTCAGTTGGGAAAAGCTCTGTGTCTCTCCCATTTACCTGTGATTTTTTTTCTATCTAAATCTGCTGTTTGCTAATTTTTCTGACTGGAGAAACCTCAGTAAGCCAAATGCAAGACCTTTGGAACTCATGCCCAAAGTGTCTTTGGTGAGAGAAAGGAGAAGGGTGTTTGGACCTCCTAAAGAGAAACTGTTGGGGAAAGAGAACTTCAACTGAGATTTTAAGATGGCTGTGTAAAATTGTGGTTCAGGTCCCTTGTTGCCAAGCTGAATTATTACACAGGAGGATTCTTGTTGCAGGACTGTCGTATTTGCTTTTAGGAGTTAAAAGTTGTTTATAAAGCCCCTGGGCACAGCTCAGTGCTGAGGCTTTGGCTCGGGGAAGGAACAGCCCACTGGAAGTGCTCTGACTGTCAGGGCCCTGCTGCAGTGCCTCCAGCGCTCTCCATTGAGTTGATCTATGAGTTAATCAGGAAAATATTCTCTAAAAAATAGCATAAAGCAGTTCAAATCTGCTTTGCCAGATACTAAAAGCCTTCCAGGCCTGAGGTGCTTTTTACCCCTGTTTCACCTGGAGTGTGAAGCAAGGGAGGGTCAGGTGGATGGTTTACAGGCCCAGTGGTGCTTTACTGCTGTGTTTCACAGCAGGGCTAGGGATCAAACTTGCAGGCCTACCTTTAAAGCCAGTTTTGCAGCTCAACAGTCTCTTCTGTGTTCATGCTCCCTCTCTTCTGCTCTCCTGATGGCATTTTGCTATTTTTTCTTCTGTTCTTCCCATGGAACCAGGAGTGCTACTCAAAAATCTGGGGAGGGTTTTCAAAAGAGGATGAGGGCATTCCCTGATAGCACAGATGTTTTATTTAAAGGCTCTAGTGATGGAAGGCCTGTTCCAAGTGACACTGTTCTTCCCTTGTAGGTCACCCAGCAGCACGCAGCAAGAACAGGTGGGTGATTCTCCTTGGTTGTTTTGCTCTTTTCCTATAAATCAGCTGGATCAAAATCCACTCCTCCTCCGTGTGCCTGGCAAAGCACAGCCAGACCCCTGGAGTGCCAGTGGGGTGCCTTGTGCTGTCTCGTCCACTGGGAATTTCTGCTGCTGTCAGCTCGTTCCCAGTGAAAACCATGCTTAGTTCCCCCCTTGTTGCTGCCGAACTCTGCCACGGGAGCCACATAAATCAGAATGTCTTGGTTTTGGCTGGGGCTTTAGGAGCAGCTCTCGGGGCCTGGACACGCCGAGATCTGCCAGCTCTGCCAGCAGGAGGACAGCCGGAGCCAAAGAAAGGTCAGTCCTGGACTTGAACTGGCATCTCCCACGCCTGGTGACTGAGAGTCCCCTCTGCTTCTTGTGGAATCACAGATGGCTGCTGGTGACTTGTACCAAGAAATGAGCCCTTGCAGGCCCCTCTGCCCTTAACAGAGCTTGGTTAAATGCTGATGGGCTGATGGTTCTCTGCTCTGCCCTGTTCAGTGGTTTGGTGTTCCTCCCCCTTAGCAGCTTCTTCCCTTCTTTAGCTCAGTGCTTGTTGATCCACCAGGATCTGAACCTCTCCTCTGTTCTTTTCCTGCATTCCAGAACGTCTGCAAGAACTGTGGGGGCACCTTCTGTGAAGCCTGCTCGGTGCACGAGCTGCCCCTCCCGTCCAGCATCAACCCCGAGCGCGTCTGCAACCCCTGCCACCAGCGGCTCATCCAGCAGTATTCCAGCAGCCCCTTGTAGGGAGCGGCTGGCACTGAGGCGGCAAACAATGGCTGGAGCTGACGGTGTTTCTGCGCTTGGTCAGGGGCAATGGGAAGACACTTGCCCATTTACTTTGGAGGTCAGATGGGAAGCAGCTTCTTGGTGATTAGAATCTCTTGTTACTAGAAGAACAGTCCAAGCCCTGTACCAAAAGCAGCCTGCGCTGTGCAGAATTGCATTGGGAATCTCAAGTGGAGCGGCCCCAGGGTGTGCCTGAGCAGTCTCAGGACTCTGGGAGCCCCTGCCCAAAGCAGAGCTGTTGTCTGCATGTGGAAGTCAGAAGCGTTCTCACCCTCACGTGTGCAGTGTGGGTGTGTGCTGCTGCTGCTGCTGAGCAAAGGCTCCCCAAAACCCAGCAGGAGCGTTGGTATTCCTCACGTCTGGCTGCACTTGAAATCCCATTTCCCCTTTTCCTTTTGCCCTGGACAGGCTGGCTCATCCTGGGAACCCCAGGGCGATGGTGTGAGCAGGGCAGTGAACACATCCTTCCTGTGTTTCCTTGGCTCAGGGCTCTGACCAGGGGCTTAGTCTGCACAGGGGCACCCCAAACCAAGCTGTGAATGTTCTGTTCCCCCTCTGTGCTTCAGGGGCTGGGCCCAGTCCCTGTCAGACAGAGGTTTGTGGCCATCTGGATCCACCTCTCCACCTCGCCCACACAGAAAAACGTTGTTACAATAAACCTGGTATTTCACTTTCTGTTGGATCAAAACTAAATGGGAACACTTTTCACCTGATGAGAATTTTAATTG